TTTAGGATTATCCAGCTTCTTAATATCCATTTTTACAAAAAGATGCAAGAAACTGTCTGCCAGAACTAAGCTGGACAATGCCAGATTACCTCCTGAGTTCCAACCTCCCAATGCATTGCAGGCTTTTAGGATTCCAGCTACTGATTCCCACTCTTGACTTTGGTTGCAGTATCTGCTCCCCTCAGCTTTCATGGTCTTCTTTCCTGAGACCTGAAAACTGACCTTGACTATTCATCCATCAAACATTTACCAAAAAATATTTATTATGCCAGGAACTTCCTGGCACTGGGGTTACAAGGAATCCCATACCCCAGAAGAGCTGGTTTAGTCAGGGAAAGAGACTTCTAAACAAATGGTTAAGAGTGAGATACACATTGTAACAGAAACATCCATGGACTCCTGGCATTTGGAATTCAGGATTTTGTCTTGAGAGAGACCCTGAAAACCCACGATATAAGGATTTGTAATTTTAATGAGGTGGAAATCTGAATGAAACTATCTTCAGGGTTGACAGGCAATGAAAGCAAAGCACTTAGCCAGTAAGTGAGGCCCCGATGTCTAGACTGGGCGTGTATTTTGGCCTGGCATTGGGTTCTCAACTCCTCCCCTAGCACATTGTTATACTCATTACAGACATCAAGTTGATTGCTTAAATTTTTCTGAAATTATATGCTGTTGTGGGGTTCCCCAAATGTGGTGTTCTCCAAGACTCAAGAAAATGTTCTATATGAATGTGATAGATATGTGTACTTAAGGATAAATTTGTCAAAATTAGGCCTGTACAATGAAAGCTAAAAAATATGGCCGAGAATAATTAAAGACGATCTAAACTAACGGCACAATAAGCAATACTCACGACTCAGAAGATGTAGTTTGTTGTCAATTCTCCCCCAAGTGTGTACAGATTCAATGCATCCCAATCAAAATTTCAAAAGGCCTTTTTGTAGAAATCGAGAACCTCATTTTAAAATGTGTATGGAAATGAAAAGGACCTAGAATAGTCAAAACAATTTCGAAAAAAGAAAATAGCTGAGGAACATACACTACCTGATTTCAAGAGTAACTATACACTTACAGTAATGAAGATAGTCTGGTATTGCTGTAAAGGTAGACATAGAGATAAATGGAACAGAATATAAGTACAAAATTGACCCACACATAGTCTACTGTCTGTTAATAAAGCAGCCAAGATAATTCAATGAAAAAGAAAAGGCTCTTTTAACAAATAGGGCTGCAACAATTGGACATCCACATGCAAAAGAATTAACTTTGTCCTTTACTTCACACTGTACACAAAATTACCTTAAAAAGGATTATTAACTGAAATGTAACACTTAAAGTTATAAAACTTCTAGAAGAAAACATAGGAAAAATTCTATTGCACCTAACAGTAAGACAAAGATTTCTTAAATAGGACACAAAAATCATACACCATAAATGAAAAAAAAAAAGATAAATTGTACTTTACTAAAGTTAAAAACTTCTGTTCTTCAAAAGATACTGTTAAGAAAATGAAAACACAAGCCGCAGACTGGGAGAAAAATGTTTGAAATACATATATTGACAAACAATTTTTGTTCTGAATACAAAAGAACTTTTACAACTCAGTAATAAGAAAAACAACCTAATATTTTTTTCATGGGCAAAAGAGTTGAATAGGCATTTTGCAAAAGAAGATACATAAAGGGCCAAAAAGACATGAAAAGATGCTTAATGGTATTAATCATCAGGGAAATGCAAATTAAAACCACAAATGAGATATTACTACAATCCACTAGAATGGCTAAAGGATGCAAAGCAACTGGAACTCTCACACTCCGCTGGTGGGGGTGTAAAATGATAAACCACTTTGGAAAACAGATGGGCAGTTTATTATAATGCTAAACATACACTTGCTTTATGACTCAGCAATTCCATCCAAGAGATCCAAGAGTAAGGGAAACACATGTCCACACAAAGATTTCTACAGGAGCTTTCATCTTCGTTTTATTCACAAGAAGCAAAACCAGAAACAACCCAAATGTCCATTAACTGTTGACTGTATAAACAAATTATAGAATATCCACGTAACAGAACACTACTTGGTGATAAAAAGGAATGATACACATAACAGTATGGATGAATCTTAAAAATATCATGTTAAATAGAGGAAGCCAAAACAAAAGTTGATTCTACTGTATGATTCTATTTATTGAAATTGTAGAAAAAGCAAAACTAAAGTGGCCAAAAGCAGATAAAGCTTGGTCATGTCAAAATGACTCAGGAGCCAATTTGAATAGGATCATTTTGGGACAATCTGGTTATCAATAAGCATAATGATTGCGATGAATGAAACATACCAAATGTGTTTCAGTCCATGAGTTTATAATGATACTAAACCATACACACACACACACACACACACACACACAGTTTAAAAAAATAATAGGACAAACTAACAATTTTCAGTTGTGAAAACAAAAATGTTGTTACAATATTTTCTTTACATTATTTCTAACAATATCTCAGCTTGACCCCCAAGATCTTCAAGTTGAGAAATAAAATATTTATTGACCATATGGTTATTGATCAAAAAGAATTGAGGCAAATGAAAATTTGTTAATTGGTAAGGATGGGAATGAAATTTTTTTTCTATTAAAACAATCAGTAAGTAGTGTTGTTTTAATGATAAATAAAACTTTGAAACTCTTTTTCTGTAAACCATCTGGCCTTGTGTTCTACCCACAGAAATTCCCTGAATTCATATTGCATGTCCATTCTCAGTCCACATAGCTTTTCTTCCCTCTTTTCATGTCTGAAATGCCAGGTCCCATAAAATCTCCCAGTTTAATTACTGTAAGTAATGAAATGCCAAGCAGTGTCCTAAATTCCAGGCCACTTGGGTAGGATTTTGACACATCTTATTCTCAAAGTCCTGGGTTTACAATTGATCATGTTTATGCTACTCTGATCAGTGCAGAGACATTCTGTCAGGGTTTCTATATTTTCTCCCTTTGGGTTAGCATTAAGTTATGAGGGAGATCAGACCAAAAATCTGGATGGAGTAATAAAAGCCATCATCATTAACAGAATGACAACTGGAAGGGCAAACTCTCCTGATAGTTTTCAGACAATTTGTCTCATAGTCAGAAAACAGTTATTTTTACCTACCACCAACTGGGACTGTATGGAAAACACAGACTCTGGATGGGGCCCAGGGGAAGGGGAGGTTGTGTGTGGGAAGTGAGGAGGAGTGAGATAGGGTTGTATGCCCTAGAATTATGTTCCTGCAGGGAACGGAGGGGATCGTGGAGGCTTAGAGCTCAAAAGGACCTTAGCAATGACCTCGCCCACCCTTTTTATCTTACAAAGAAACAAAGGCTCAAAGAAATAAAATCAGCAGCAGCTCTTAGACAAGAATCCAGGGTACCCTGAAGCCTAGTGTAGGGTCCTTTACACTCTACCATGTGCATTTTTTTAATGAATTATTTATAAAGCTAAAACAGATGTATTAGGAGACAACCTCAGTACATTTCTGTGACATTGAGATTTTGCCAAAACACTAAAAATTGCCTGAGCCATAGAGGTATTCAAATATTTGCAGAGTCTAGTTTAACTATGTCTAGTGTTTCCTGGGGCACACTTCCCTTGTTTATGTTTCTTAATTAAAAAGTTGAAAGAAAATATAAAGATAGGCCATGGGTTCCACATTGGCAAAAATTCAACCCTTGATCATTCATTCCTTATTGAACAGTATTTAATGAGAGTCTACTATACATCAGGCACCATGCCAGGTGTTGGGAATCCACAGAACAAGGTCTCTGCTTCCTCAGAGCTTACAGTATAGAAGGGAAGGCTGTATCAAAGAAGTAATTACATTAATGTGTCCATTAATGTGTCATGAGTGTTAACATGGGGAAATTCAGGATTGTATGGGTTTACCCCTGGAGAATAATTGAAGATGGGTCTCTTCTGTTATCAGTATTTCTGGGCTGCTTCTTTATACCATCATTTGAGTTCCCCAAACACAAATTATTTTCAATGAAATATTTAAAGCCACACTTACCTACTGGTGTGCCACATGTTGTGTGAACATCTGCAGAGAATTCCGAGGGAAATAAGCATTTTATAGGAGGGCAAATAATTTTGGATTATGTATGCCTGATAAATTTAGCACTACTTGACAGCACAGGTGTTCTGAAAAATAACTTGATATATCTTGAAACTTTAGGCTTTAGGTTTTTACAGTAATTCGTAACGGGTTTTGTCTGCGAAAGCAACCCCCCCTGATCTTTTATTTTAGAGGTCTGGAAGGCTCTACCTATTTCCCCGACATGGCTCTGATAGAATCCCATCCATCCTTAAAGGGCCAGCTCAGAACGCTGCTCTACCAAACGTTTTGCTAACATAGCCTGCGTACATCTTTTGCCCGTCCTCTCTGTTACAGATCCCGCATTTATATAGCATTAAGCACATCATCGTTTCGATACTGTGTATATGTCTTCCCAGAAACTGGATGGATCTCTAAAGGGAAAAAAAATTGTGACTCTCCATCTCCCTATGATATCACCTTAAAAGGCGGTCACCCCAAATCCGTACATTGATCATAGAAACAGAAATTCCATCCATAAATGAAAGAGACTGCCTCATTAACCTTGGGGGCACTGTTTCCCTCCCACTTGCAGCAATCTGGTTTATTCCATGGGGTGGAGAAGGAAGCCAGGTTGGCGGGGTGGGAAGGGAATGGCGTCAGTGTGAGGTCACGCCACATTGTCCCGAATGCCATCTCCACACCGCGGTGACATGAAAGCCTGATTGAGGAATGCAGCCCGAGGAATGATAGAGGCCCAAGTCGCGCAGATTACATACAAAACAAGGGCAGGATAGAGAACAAAGCGGGGAACCTCGCGAGGAGCAGCAGGACACCTGGGCGCCCGCAGCGAGCGCCCGCAAAGAAAGCCGAGCCGACAGCCAAGCCGAGGCGGGGCAGGATGGGGCGGGACTTCCGGAAGCCATTTGCCTGAGTGGCAGGGGAACCGGAAGTGGGGGCGCTGCTGCGGGTGTTGGGGCCCGAGGAGGGACGCGCCGGAGCGGGGCCGCCGGGACTGAGCGAGCGACAGACGCGCCACCCGCCGACTCCGCAGCCGCTTGGGGCCCGTACGGACCCACTGCCTGAGTGAGTGCATCCCGGGGCGCGGAGAACCGGTGGCTTAGAGGCAGGGGTTGAAGGGGCTGCGATTTGTTATTGTGAGAGGCTTGCGACCGCCCCTCCCCCACTCCGCCGGCCCTCCCC